TGTGAACATATTGACTATGTTATGAAGCAGATAAATAGTTATAAAGATATAAAGACTGGGAGAAATTTTCTTGAAATACTTAACAAAAATTAAAACATTTCATAAGAAAAATTTTAGTTTTTCAATAAACCTGAAATAACAATATAAAACAACTGGTTTTCTCTCTCCCATTTCTCCTGTTTAGATTTCACATCTCTTGATATAATCCTGATCCTTCTAGTACTTTAGTTTCTGGTTGAATTATGCTAATTTTCTTAGGGGACTTTAATCCGTGTGTAGAGATGTATTTTTAATTAGTTGTGCTTTACATATTTATCAGTATATTAGATTCATTAACATTTTAAAGTTGTTTTAAAGTATAAATTATTGGTGCTTGATTTATGTGTTTTATAAAAATCAATCTCTCAACTCCTAAATCCTTGAAAGTGTTGATTTGCTACTACTTTCTTTCTTCTGGGTGATGTTCAAACTGTTAACAATTAGGCAGTCAAAGTTCAATTTCTAATGAATTTGTTATCCACTTAATTCATTATATTTTAATTAATGTAAGCAAATTAAAACTACATTTTCTTTTTGTATACACAGTGAGCACGAGTGAGTATTGTAACCCAATTTCTGTTTTATTGCCAGCTAGAGCTATTATCAGGGAGTTTATTGTGGACTTAGCTCTAACAATTAATTCTGTAACAGTAGCTGTCCTGGAAGTCAAATGATTAAGGCAAAAACAAACAGAATTAAATGCAATTATTCAAAATTTCAGTTATCCAAAAATTAGCATATGTTCCACACTGTATTGCCCATTAAAAAAGTCTCTTCAAGGATTTAGTCATGCTAAATAAAGTTCTGCTTACTTCTCACAAATAAACTCAAGATCTGATGTCATTAAAAATTTTGCATATTGATTTAGTGCATAGACCTTTTGATTCTCAAAAAAAACTGTAATATATGGATGTCTGTGTTTGAGATTTTTAGCTTTGGAGTCAGTTAATCCTACCAGCATTATGATATCACTCAATAAAAGCTTCTAGAGATGGGGAAAAGAAGCAGGAGATGGTTCTCCTAAGGGAGCAGAGGTTATAAAGTTTCATCATCCTAAGCATCATGCTTTTGTCTACAATAAAAAAAATTGCATTGCTAAGCACGCAGCAACAACATGGAAGGCATGAAGTAAACTAAATAAATGCTCCCTCTGAAATCAATTGTCGTTTTAGGGTAGCACAGGTTATAGTAGCAAACATCTGTATAATATTTGGCCCTTCCCTGGTGACTCAATCAGCCTGCAATACCAGAGACCCAGGTTCGATCCCTGGGTCAGGAAGATCCCCTGGAGGAGGAAATGGCAACCCACTTCGGTATCCTAGCCTGGAGAATCCTATGGACGGAGGAACCTGGCAGGCTACAGTCTATGAGGTGGCAAAGAGTCAGACACAACTGAAGCGACATAGCACACGCATATAATCTTTATCATGAGCTAGCCCTTTACATATATATATATATATATATTTATATATATATACACATATACACATACATATATAAAATTAATCCTCAGAACAGCTCTGTGAAGTTATTAAAATTTTATTATTTTATAGATTAAAAGAGTAAGAAATTTTCACAAGATTACACAGCTTCTAAATAGTGGAGCTAGAATTTTAACCTAAGCAGTTGACCGTGTTGTTTCTTTGATATTATAACTAGTTCATCTTCAAATTCCCTTCTTTCGAGGATTTATTTTAATAGTAATTATAAAATATATGATGTTTAAATGAATGCAAAGTTTTCCTAATGGTGCATGTCTTGACATCAGTGTTGGAACTCACAGGTCTAGTTCACATTTGTTTGTTTCTTTGTTTCCTCAAAATGTGAGGATTCAGGGTGGCTAACTTTCCTTGGCACATCCCACACATTTGAAACGGAAACACTTGATGTAACTGAATTCTCTATCAGGCCCATCTGGTTATCCCATGTAGATGAAGACTTAATTTAAATTTCACGTTGCCTATTAGTTAATTTAAGCTAATAGGATTTGAATTTTTTAAGTTTAAACCTTGTTGTTTCCTTAAGGATGTAGTCTACTTTTAATTCCTTGAGCTTCTCGAATGGTCTCTTCCTCCCTGGTTTTTTATCTAAAATCATTAATTACCATAACAGTGCCAAAATTAAAAAAAAAATCTCTATAGACATGATTCTGAAAATCTTTATGCATTTTAATTAACATATGTATAATCTTGTATGGTATTAATATATGTGACCAGAAGTTTTATTTTTATATTGAATCTATTATTTCCTCATTTCTGTCATTTTAAAACTAAAAAAATTTCTGTATAACAATTTGAAAGATCTTTTTATGTACCTTCAGTTTCCTTCCAAAAACCTTTCATGGAAGATAAAAGTCATTTTTAAAACCTATTCCCCATAAAAAATGCTAAGAACAGGTAGATTATATTTCATTTAAATCAAGTTATAAAGAAAACCAATCAAATAGAATTTATAATGGAAATTAAAACTGAATTTACTATTACCCAGCAACAGAAGGATCCATTTCTTCATTTTTGGATCACATTTCCTCAGAGAACATAATTACTCTTAATTTTTAAAAAGATACCTTTATTAGTTTGAAAGGTTTTCATGTTCATTAGGTAAATTAGAAAAGCTTTAGAAAAAGAAGGGAAACATCAAGTAGAAAACATCTTATTGACCTAACTGAACATTTTAAAATGCCACTGAGGGTTTGCTGATGTTCTTTAACACCTGTGTAATAATGTTGCCCTTTAAATGGAACTGGTTAAATTTTCAAAGCTGTGTTCTGGGATTTTGCCATTTGATGTCCATTAATATCAATTGGACTATGTGGCCAAATCCCTGTGTACCACTTTGAAACTTTACCCCTTGGTGTTAATGGTAGTCTTCTAACAGTGCAGTTAGAAATAAATTATTTATCTGCTTAGCACAAATTTCCTTTACTCTCTAGGGTCAACTGAATAAGGAAAAAAAAAAAAGAATCCCAATGTTTCTTTATTGCTTCAAAGTAACATGTGTGTAAAGGAGCCATCAACATAGTGTATATTGAACATGTCAGTTACATTATGCCAGGATAGCTATATGTCTGTCTAAAAGATTCAAGTTACAAATTCCCTAAAAATGCTTTCCTCTAACCTTTACTCTTGAATTCCTTTTTAGTATAGCTTAAGATATGTTTTTATAAGTATGTGTGTGTGCAGTCTTTCCCTGCATCCTCCTGTCCACTGTGTTCGTCTTTTTCAATGATTAAAACATTCAGACTTAGAAGAAGTCACTGCTAAATATTTTAAAATAGAAATAGGGTCTTGATGTTCAGTTTCTAAATGGCCCTAACTTACTGCCTTGTATTTAAATATCAGTTATGGAATTCCGAAGTTTCAGCATTGAATATTCTTGCCTAAGAATGCTACTATCCAGAGGAAGATATTTTTAGGTTTGGGAGCACCAAGTAGTCATTTCAACAAACATTTTGGTGTTGAATGCAAAAGCATTAGTTACACATAAATTCAGTTTCATCTGAAATGAACAGGATGAAAAGAAAACCACTGATTTTATTTTTTAAATTATTTTTATGTTTTTTCAAAAATATTTTTTTCTGTTTACTTACTTACTCTTGGCTATGCTGGGTCTGCACTGATGTGAGGGCTTGTGTCTAGATGCAGTGAGTAGGGCTGCTCTGTTAGTTGCGGCGTGCAGACTTCTCATTGCAGTGGTTTCTCATGGCAGCACATGGGTTCAGCAGTTGTGGCTCCTAGGCGCTAGAGCACAGGCTCAGTAGTTATGGCACACGAGTTTAGTTGCTCCTCGGCATGTGGGATCTTCCTGGATCGAGGATAGAATTCATGTCTCCTGCATTGGCAGGCAGATTCTTGACCAGTGAGTGACCAAGGAAGCCCAACCACTGATTTTAATGGAAGCTCTTTGTGCTTCCTTAATGGGAACACCAATAAATACATACTGAGAATGCTGGTAAAGATGCTGGTGATGGTGGACGGGATGCCAAAGTACTCACCACAAAAGACTTGTTTTACCTTTCACTTGTTTGGTTGTTTATGGAGGTCTGGTTGAGGCAATGCCACATTCTTGCACCAAAGAAACTACTTTTACTTCAGAAAATGCCTTTAAGGGACCATTGACTTATGAGTGTACATCAGAAATATCAAATTACATAGCTATATTGTGAGAACATTAATTTACTCCAGATTGTGTTAACCCTTGAGAGTCTGAGCAGTGTAATCATGTGAAATATGACCTAAAAAATGCTGTCTTCTGTCCATCCCTGCAGCTTTTATTATACTTAGCAAATAATGTATTGGTAATGTTTGGTTAAATAGTGTATAAAAAATCAAATGTACACTCTCGAATTACTGAATTCTAGTAAATTGTCTTTAACTTGGTTAAAAATTTCTAACATATGAAAAATTAGATTAGGCTCACTATGTTTCGTCAGATTTGGGAAAATACATGTAAAATGCAATATGGAATCTGTAAGTTCATCAGCACCTTACTTGTTTTTGCAGTATCTCGATTCACACCAGCTGCTTTATACTTCATGGAAACATAACATAACTGTATGTCTATTTATGCACTGTATGTGATTGTTTTTCTTTTACAAAATCTGCCATTCCTTGTTCTTTCTCAAACAGATGCTTGAGTGTTCCATACAGTCTTTTACATGGTACTATATATTAAATTGTAGTATGTATGTATTGTATGCAGGAGTTTGCATTGCTATACCCTCTTGCATAACATTCCTGCATGCAATAATAGCATCAAAGTCCTTAAAATAAGAATACATCCATTTATAAATTAACATACTTTGAAACATAACAATGTTTCTGTTTTGCATACTTATGTATCTTAAGTAAAGATGAAATTGAATTTTGTCTAGTACAACACTGCCATCACACAGTAGTGTTATAAGGCAATATGCTCAAGTGGTCAATATTCTAACCATTGATCACCCTTATTTTCCATAGGCACAGCCATCAGACCTATTGCTTTGAGAGCTGTGACCACCATTGCTCGTGCTTTGCCTGGATTTCCCATTTTGGCCACTGGTGGAATTGACTCAGCTGAAAGTGGCCTTCAGTTTCTCCACAGTGGTGCTTCGGTGCTCCAGGTAGTACTTGTGTTTGTCGATCCCTTCGTAAAGCTCCATCTAACAAATAAACTGTAAATTATGCGACAACAAATATGTTCTTGTAGAGTCTCTTAAGAAAGAATCCTTGTGGGATCAAATTGGGTGGCGCTCATTAAGTTTCTGTTATGAGTTGAGAACAACCCTGAGGTTCATTTCCTGTCATTTCTTGTTCTTTTAAGAGCTTATAAACCCTCTATTTAAAAAAAAAAAACATATTTGTGCACCTGTATGTTTCTAAAATAAATGGGATCAGGTACCAAAATCCATACTGTGCTACTGGATAAAAACCAAATACATGAGGAAACCTGGGTAAAAGCAAGATCTTGACTGGAAAATAAAAGAAGCCCAGGGTAAGGCCAATACAAAACCTCTGCTGTATGGTACTGTAAGATTGACAAAAGTGACTCTGAACTTCCTGATAGCCAAAGCAAGGAAATCACAGGTTTTCAAAATATAGAAATAAATCAATTGTTTACCTTCTTGTGATGTAAAGCTGAGGGAGATTCTTTCATTGTTTTCATAAAAAGATACTTTGAGATGTAGTGCATCATACTCTTATTAACCCTCTACAAATAACTTAGAAGTCACTTTTTTATTAATTATAACCTTGCTTTTTACATTATAATCTTGTTCAGTGTAGATGCAGTACAATGCCTCCATATTTTATAGTATAAGCATTACTCTTAGGGGCCAGATATGCAGGTTTCAGTGATGTGATGGGAACCAGAGGTAAAATTTTTCACATGGCAAGTAGTCTGTGACTTCTGAGGTAATATTCCTTTAATATGGCTTCTTACTACCTAGCATTGATGGTAACTGGGGAGCAGAATGTTTAGCATCACTTACATTCTCTGGCAAGAATGTAAAGTGTAAAATAACGTGTTGCCAATTTGACAATTGGAGTTAACATCCCATTATGAAATATAAAGTGAAAACAACATATAGCAAAATGCTAATGGAGGCAGACTTCTGCTTCCAAGAAGATGGAATAGATGTAATTTTTCCTATGCTTCTGAATTTTATATATACAACTAACATTAAGAGACTCTGAAATGTGAGGAGAAGGCAGTCTGGCTAGGAATCTCAGGACCCAAGGCACAAAAGAGTGGAGAGTTTCCTGGGTTTTCTTTTTGCCTCATATATCCAGACTTCAATCCAAAGAAGCCAGCAACAGGGAAACAACAGGGGTAGACCAAAAAAAAAAAAAAAAAAATATATATATATATACACACACACACACACACACACACACACCCTTTGTAGCTAGTATATATATACACACACACACACACACACACCCTTTGTAGCTAGTATATACACACACACACACACACACACACCCCCTTTGTAGCTAGTATATATATATACACACACACACACACACCCTTTGTAGCTAGTATATATATATATACACACACACACACACACACACCCTTTGTAGCTAGTATATATATATATATATATACACACACACACACACCCTTTGTAGCTAGTGTATATATATATATACACACACACACACACACACACACACCCTTTGTAGCTAGTATATATATATATACACACACACACACACACACACACACCCTTTGTAGCTAGTATATATATATACACACACACACACACACACACACCCTTTGTAGCTAGTATATATATATATACACACACACACACACACACACACACCCTTTGTAGCTAGTATATATATATACACACACACACACACACACACACACCCCCTTTGTAGCTAGTATATATATATATATATACACACACACACACACCCTTTGTAACTAGTATATATACACACACACACACACACACCCTTTGTAGCTAGTATATATATACATACACACACACACACACACACACACACACACACCCTTTGTAGCTAGAGAACCAAGAAAGGGCAACCTAGCAGACAGAAAACTTTTAGACCGTGACTGCTCTACTCCAGCCAAATACTGCAGCTAAAACCTGCAGCGCCAAACCTCTCTACACAAACAAAGTAGAAGCACGAGTCTTAGACTTGCAGTCTCAGGATGCCGTAACAGGCACCTAGCGTTGCCCGTGGGCCATAATGATCCCCCACATGTTGGAGGCCTGGACTTCCACCCCACTGACAGTGATGGTGTCCCATCTCCTCCCCTTTGGGACACTGTCAGAGGAAGTCTAATGGGGAGTCAGGACTTTTGTCACCACCCAGTGGTAACAAGGCCACTCTGTCCCTCCCACCACAGTCCCCTGGTGTCAGAGGAGGCCTAGTGGGGAGCCAGATCTCCTATCCTATCCTGGCAGTAACATGGAGAATGTCCTTCAGAGTCAATGGAGGTCAAGTAGAGTACCTGGGCAGTAAGGAGGCAGCAACCTCCCCCTCCCCTGCCAGAATGGTATCCAGAAAAGCCAGCTAAAACTGGTTTAAATAAGATGAAGACTCTCTTAACATAGTACCCCAAATGTCAGTGTTTCGAATGAAAATCACTCATCATACCAAGACCCAGGAAGATCTCAAGGTGAATGGTAAAAGACAATTAATAGATGGCAATATCAAGCTAACAGAGATTTAGGGTGATCTGATATTTTGAAATCAGTCATCCTAAAATTTCTCTAACATGGTGATTACAAACATGCCTGAAACAAATGGAAAATATGGAAGATCTCAAAAAAGAAATAGAGGATATAAAGTACTTCAGTACTGAAAATTACAATAGCAAATACAAAAGTCAGTTGACAGACTCAACAGAAGAATAGGGAGGACAGAGAAATAATCAGTGAAATGGAAGACAGAGAAGTAGAAATTAACCAATCTGATAAAAAGAGAGAAAAAAGACTGAAAGGGAAAAAATGGGCAGAGTCTCAAGGAACTGTGGGAGTACAGAAAAAGATGTAATATTCATGTTATCAGAATGCCAGAGGAGAGATTAAGGAAAGAGGGGATAAAAAGGAAATAACATCTGAAATTTCTCAATTTTTGCAAGAGACATAAACTTACAAGATTCAAGAAGTTGAATGAATCCCAAATTTGAGAGACATAAATCTATGCCAAAACATATTATCATCATACTTCTGAAAACTAAAGACAAACAACCCCTTGAAAACAAGAAAACCATGACATTTTACTTATAAGGAACAAAAAATTCTAATGACAGTCGATTTCTCATCAGAAACCACGAAGTCCAGAAAGTGGGACAAAAGTTTTCAGTTGTTGAAAGAAAAGATCAACCCAGAGTCCTATTTCCTTCAAGAAAGAAAGATAAAAAACATTCTTAACTCAAGAAATACCAAGGATTTATTTCCAGGAAGCATAACTAAGAGAATGACAGAAGTTCCTTAAGAAAAAGAAAAATTATTAAAAAAGGTACTTTGGGGCATCAGAAAGGAAGAAAGAATACAGAGCAGATATACAGATATGTAAATACAATACAGATATGTGAATGTAGAAAGTGCTATGTGTCCTCATAAAAACATGTGGTGAAAGAATCACTCAAATTGCAGTTTATGCTTAGGCTCATCTAGGATTGAAAAGCAAAGAATCATTCAAACTTCCTGAAGAAAATGAAGCCTATTGTATAGTATATATGAATGCAGATAGGAACTACAAGAACCAATAGGGCACTTCTCTACTCAGAAAGGGCAGAGACCTTTTCCACTTCTCTTTCATGAGCCATGTGATTTTTCCCAAAAGGAATCTATAGTTCTGTCTGTTCCTCTTTAAGACTTACTCTTCATTTCTGCCTCCTCTGAACTGCCTAGCTCATGCTTATCATGAGCCATTCTACATGGTGGTCTGTCAGTTCCACTTTTTACATGAAATACCTTACCAGCTGAGTATCTGTCTCTTGGCTTAGATTTTCAAAACAGGAAATCTGCTTGGCTTAATGTATCTTTTCATGCCAAGCATCATCATAAAACACTAGTCACCTAATGTATTGGCTGGTGTATAGCAGAAACACATTAAACATTTGTTGAATTGAGTTGTGATTTTTTTTTTTACTAGATTGTGAACGGGGTGAGAGGTTCAACATGGTATTAAAAAGTGGCCGTCAAAACTCTGCTCCTTCAGCTTAGGCTTGGAGACTTTCCAGCTACATAAAATATTGACTCCCAGTTGATATTCTTAGAAATGTAAATTTCCATACATAGTCTTTTACTGGTGTAAACTTGCAGGTTACGTATCAATTATGTGTCATTATGTGTCATCATGGACATCACCAGATTGTCAACACTGAAATCAGATTGATTATATTCTTTGCAGCCAAAGATGGAGAAGCTCTATATAGTCAGCAAAAACAAGACCAGAAGCTGACTGTGGCTCACATCATGAACTCCTTATTGCCCAATTCAGATTTAAATTGAAGAAAGTAGGGAAACCACTAGACCATTCAGATATGACCTAAATCAAATCCCTAACACCTATACAGTGGAAGTGAGAAATAGATTTAAGAAACTAGATCTGATAGACAGAGTGCCTGATGAACTCTGGATGGAGGTTTGTGACATAAAACAGGAGACAGGGAACAAGACCACCCCCAAGAAAAAGAAATGCAGAGAAGCAAAATGGCTGTCTAAGGAGGCCTTACAAATAGCTGTGAAACAAGAGAAGCAAAAAGCAAAGGAGAAAAGGAAAGATATACCCATTTGAATGCAGAGATCTAAAGAATAGCAAGGAGAGATAAAAAAAGCCTTCCTCAGTGATCAGTGCAAAGAAATAGAGGGAAACAATAACATGGGAAAGACTAGAGATCTCTTCAAGAAAATTAGCAATACCAAGGGAACATTTCATGCAAAGATGGGCTCAATAAAGGACTGAAATGGGATGGACCTAACAGAAGCAGAAGATATTAAGAGGTGGCAAGAATACATAGAAGAACTGTACAAAAAAGATCTTCAAGACATAGATTATCATGATGGTGTGACATCATAATCATGATGGCCAGACATCCTGGAATGCAAAGTCAAGTGGGCCTTAAGAAACTTCA